AGCCATTGCAGATCTCCAGTGACCATCCTGCCAATGTGTTGCTACCTTGATGTACTTTTAATAACTCCTTATAATTCTCTTTGTCCTGAGTTTTGCCTTGTTAATCAGGGCAAAAGCCCAAATAAAGAATTTTTCTTTTGACATGGCCAGTGAGAAGAAGTCCAAGCTCACCTCCCTAAGGCCTCCTCCTTCAGGTACCTGAAAATAACTAGCATGTCCCTCTGGGGTCCTTTCTCCTGCAGGCTGGACATCTCTACTTCCTCCAAATGACCCTTATGTGACATGCACTGTTCCTCATTCTGGTTGCCTTGTTCTGGAGGCTTACAAGCTTCTTGGGCCTGATGTCTCTGCTGCTTCTGACTCTATTAATTACCCCCATCCTCCTGAGACTCTCTTCTGCTCTAGCTTCTCTTCCTATCTGTCTGACATCATCTTTTTTGCTGGATCATTCATTATCTGTGCCTCATCCCCTAAGCATGGGTCCTGGGACCCTTTTTCTCTCTCTGTAAACTCTCTTTCTCAGTGATCTAATCTGCTCCTGTGGGTTCACTTATTATCTCTCTGCAGGGGACTTTCATATTTATACAGCCAGCCCTGACTCTCTCCCGAGCTCCTCACCAGCATCACTGTCTGCTGGACATGTCCACCTGAATGTTCCATAGAAATCTCAAACTTAACTTATCCAAAGGGCAGCTAGGTAACACAATGGGTAGAGCTCTAGCCTTGGAGTCAGGAGGACCTGAATTCAAATTCGGCCTCTGACACATGACATTTACTAGCTGTGTGACCTTTGGCAAGTCACTTAACCCTGATTGCCTCACCAAAAAGCAAAAACAAAACAAAACAAAAAAAAACTTATCCAAAATGAATCTGATTTTCTGCCCCCTAAGCTTGCCACTCCTCTAAACTTTGCTTCTATTAAAGACATCCTGCATCCATTCACTCAGGTGTTCATTCTCAGAGTCATTCTCAACTCCATTTTCTTCCTTCACCCTCTCCATAGAAAATAAGGCTCTGGGGAAGCTAGGTCATATAGTGGCCAGAGCACCAGCCCTGGAGTAAGGAGGATCTGAGTTCAAATCCTGCCTCAGACACTTATTAGCTGTGTGACCATGGACAAATCGCTTAACCCTGATTGCCTAAAAAAAAAAGTTTCCAAGTCTTCTTGATTCTATCTCCACAACATCTTTTGCTCTCATCTTCTCTGCATCTATAGGACCACCACTCTAATTTAACTCTTCATCACCTCTTGCTCTTCTCTTTAATCCTCAAAATAAATTTCCTAAAGCACAGGTAGAATCAGTCACTCCCTTGCTCTAGAATCTTCGGTGGCTCCCTATTGCTCCTAGGATAAAATACAAACTCTTCCACTTGGTATTTAAAGACCTTCACAGTCTTTCTAGCCTTATTTTACATTGTCGCCCTTCGTGCATTTTAAATTTTAGACAAGTTGGCCTACTTGCCAGTCCACTGGCTAAGTCAGTGCTCAACCTTCCTACCTATGCTTGGACTATTTCCCATGCCAGGAATATATGCTCTTCTCATCTCCATGTTAGACTTCTTTGCTTAATTTAAGGCCCAGCTATGGGAAGCCTTCTCTGATCTTCCTAGAAGTTAATGGCTGGCCTTCAAATTATCCTGTATCTACATACACATAATCATCGCCATCATATAATTGTCACACCCTATTTTTTCAGTCCAAAAATTGGTTCATAACCTTTTATCATGTAATCATTTCATGGTATAATTCTATTTATCACACCACTTGAAAGGTAAACAGAGCAGCAATGTATTCACCAGTGGCGTATGAATATGTATTTCTCTCTCCTGCGTGGCGAGCCAAGAGCCTAGAATTCTCATTGCACGTTCATTGTCAGTATGTTTCCAAAAGCTGACTTGCGTGGCTTGTCTAGAGTGTTGCAGTACTAATGGTAGTGTCACTCTGAAGACTGTGGGCACAAGGGCAGCGGGAGGGCAGTCAAAGATGCCATGAGTAAGTCACGTGAGTGGTAAGAGTTGCATCTTCCCGCAGTAGCTAACCTGTACAGTTCATCTGCCAGCAATACATTAAAGTGCGAATCATTTCTTTCCAGTTATGGTTAAATATAAAAACTATTCTGTGGGCTTCACGCTGAAAGTGATTGTGTTCGCTGAACAGCATAGAAACAGCTATGGAAAGGCAGTTTTCAGTGAGTGAAAAGTTGGTGCAAGACTGGAGGAAACTAAAAGACAAGCAATTACTGGCACAATTTTTTAAAGCTTCACATAATGGTCGCACTCCACTTTTGGCCAAAAAATTTGGCATAGAATCTCTGAGATTTATGCGGTGTGTGTGATGAAATTCAGGATCTGTTTGCATATTCTATCCTCTCACCAGTAGACCATAAGTCCCTTGGGGATCAGGACTATTTTCATCTTTTGTATCCCCAGGTTTAACAAAATGCCTGCTTATCCACTGAATTGAATAGAATTGAATTGATTCAATCTTCACTGAATTGAATGGAATTAAATTGATGCTGCCCTTTGACTCTGGGACCCCAACACTGAGACTATAGACTAGAGAGATGATGAAAAAAAAGAAGAGTGGACAAAAACATTCAAGGCAGCTTTATTTGTAATAACAAGAAACTGGTCATTGCCAACGTAGCCAGTAATTGGTGAATCACTGAATATAACAGGATGATAGGATTTAGAGCTAAAAGGGATGGACCTTCATGGTCATCTAGTCCCATCCCTCATTTCACAGAGGAGAAAACTGAGGCCAGGAGAAGTTAAGTATCCTAATTGTAATAAATCAATGTAAAGAACTATTTTTATGCCTCGAAGGTAAGCAACTTGTTCAATTATAGCGTGTATATGTATGTATGTATGTTTGTATGTATGTCTATAAATAGTGACTTAAAATGACATACATGAAAAGTACAAAGAAACATAACAAAAAACTTATGCCAAATGAAGTTGAGTTAAGAGAAGAATAACATACATGCTGACTATGACTATATAAAAACTAACAATAGTAACAAAACCTTATGACTACAGACAGTAAAGAATTTGTTATTGTTGGTTAGATCCTCATACTCATGTTTTTTAAAATCAAAAAGTAAAAAGTTCCTACCTTGTATTTTTATTCAAGATTCAATACCATATTTTGTTTATTTGTATTTGAGGAAAGCATTATTGAGTTTATAAGAACAAATACTTTTGAAAAAGGATGAGGGATAGAAGAACCTAATTTGTGAGTCAGGAGAAAGCCTAAGGGTGAACAAAGGAATGAGTGGGGTGATGTTTGGAGGTGAGTGATTTAGGATAGGGGTGAGTGATGGAAATAATGTAAGATGAGTTAAAGGGAAATCAGGACAGTGGTGGGGACAATGAAAGATGACTGATGACCAGCATTGAGTGGCAAATATTGGAGTGACTCTGAGAGGGGTAACGGAGACACCGAGGATGAGAACTGTAAGGAAGGGATGATATTGGGGCGAAGGGTGAATGATGATGGGAGATACCAAAGCATGAAGGATGATGATGGAGATACTCTGGGGTAAATAATGAAAGTAGAGAAACAGGTCACTTAGAGGTAAGTGATAAAGTGACTCCAGGGGTCAGTGATGGGGAGCCTTGAATAGTTGGAGGAGCTAGGCAGGTGTGTCAATTGTGAATGGGCTTTTGCAGAGTGGGTAAGAGTTTGGGAAAGCACTGAGTGGTGATATCCTAGGACTGGCAGGGAAAATTAGAGGTATGGAAAACAGGGGGCCAGGAGAGAATGGAAGTGAGGAATTTTAAGGCAAGGAAAAGTTGGGAAAGTCTTTAAAGAAATTCACATAGGAGAATGTGGTACATTGGAAGGTTCATCTTCCTCAACAGGCAAGAAGGTCCATTTCTCAGGTTTATTTTTCAGATAAGAGACCCAAGACCTGATCCTTCTTTCTCTACCTGGTTCTCACTCTCCATTTTGTAAACATTCCACCTGGACTTCCGCTTCCAGGAGCTAAGATGGCGGAGTAAAAAGGTTGTCACTCTCACCCTCCCCTATCAACCTCTGAAAGCCCAGAAAATATCGCCCCAGGAAAAACCCTGGAACAGCTGAACCAGAAGAAAGACAGGGAGCAGCAGTGCAGTAGCCCAGGTAGCTTGAGGGATTAATGGGAAACGTCCCTCTTGCCCTGGGGAAAGGGGAACAGGATAGAATGGGAGGTGTTGAAACGAGCTAGTGGAAAGACCCACTTTAGCACACCAGGAGGAGATTCTGAAACCCAAGTGATGGAGCAGGTAAACACCAACACCTGGACCTCTGAGTGCCTCAGTCAGGGGTGGGGGGGTGGGGGGGAAACTGGTGGACACCAGCTCAGAAAACCACCAGATGCCCCAGCATTCTACAGAAAACGGGTCTCCCAGTACCTTAGCAAAAATAAGGGAAGCAGCACTATAAAGGGCCCCAGGCAAATAAACACCCTGCAACATCCATCTGAAAGGAGCTGAAGAAAGTGAAAGGAAAGGAGAAGCAGGCAACCTAGAGTTGCCCTAGAGTTCTAGCCTTGCTGATTCAGCCCAACACCAGGCAAGCTGCCAGAACCCTAGAGCCTTCAATTGCCAACATCAGAGGCCCCAGCACACAAAGCCAGTGACCAAGACCTAGGCTCCCAACACAAGACGTTGGGTCAGTGCCCTCTGTTCCCCAGCAGGAGAGCTCAATCTCTTTAAAGGCCAGGGAATAAGAAAACACCATGAGCAAAAAGAAACGTACCATAGATTCATATCATGAGAACAGTGAAGATCAAGGCAGAAATTCTGAAGAGGACAACATTGTCAACAAACCCACATCTGGAACCTCAAAAAAGCATATGTAAACATTCCACCTATCTGATTTTAGGGTCCCCTTTAAATAAAAATCTCTCATTTGTCTTCATATCATTTTGCCACAAGAGGAAAGTGATTTCCCTGGCCTCCTGAGCCACCCACCTACTGTCATGGACTCAACTCTATAATTTCAACACTCTTACGATCGGACGTCCGAGAGGCATGGCTAGTCACTCCCTCGCTGAACATGCTGTTGATCCCACTGATGCCCATGGTGCTTGCTTGGGTTTTTATGGCTGACTTCAGCTCATGGTTCTCTCGAATCAATCTCACCAGCTTCTTCAGCTCCTCATTTTCACGAACTAATCGCTCAATCTGATGCCTCAGCCCTTCATAGTTGCTGAGAAGTGACATGGTCCGGGGAATTGGAGGGGAAACAGTGCTGCTGTGGCAGCGCCCAGGAGGCCGGGGCCTCCGCCCCAGGCTGGTGGGAGGCATAGAGGAGTCTGCAATGGTGGCTATGTAGGACTCCAGGGCTATTATGAGGTCAGAAGCATCCCTCTCCAGCCCCTCCCTACCCTAGACTCCAACTGACTTCAACACAGGAAGAGTCCTAGAGACCTAGAAGGGCCCTCCCTTCCTTGCTATGGTTACCTCTTCTCTTCAGGGCACTGACCTCTAGTGGGTTGTTAGGGATCTCAAGTAAAGGCCTGATGCTGTCCCAGCCCAACTAGGCCTCAAACATCACACCTAAAGCCAGAAAGCCAGGGAGTTTTGTCAAAGCTTGGCTGCCTGGAGCCTTAGACCATAGATTAAATGCCAGAAAGACCAAGCCCTCAGACATCAAGTCTGATATAGATCCCTGCATGTTCCATATGGATGATATCTTTTGATTTTCTGAAGGGTCACTGGCCTTAGGTTATCATATTTTATAGGCGTTGTTCTCTTCCAGAGCCCCAGTGTCTCTATCTTCTGGATTCAAGACCTCATTCTCACCTTTGTGTAGGTGCCAAGGACCCAACATCATTTGTCTTTTGCTAGATTTCTGTCACCAGTGCCTCTGACTTCTCCAGGACCTTCTCCTGGATCCAGGTCCCTACCATCTCTTGTCTCCTTTTTCATAGAGCTCTTCAGCTAGAAAACTCAACCTCCCCTCTTGCCTTTTCCCTTCTCCCTCCCATGCCCCCCAGGTCATGGCCATCAGCCATGTAGAATGGCAACTTGGTGAATCTGAGTAGTGCTAGGGTTGTCCCTTTCTCGTCTCTGCATTCTCTTCTGGAACTTGGACCCTGAGCACATTCCCTAGAAGGTTCAGGACAGTCAGCTAGCAGGAAGAGTTCCAGCTTAGGGGAGAAGGAAAAGGCGAAAGGAGGCTGGCTGGAAGAATGTGAACTAAGGATTCTACCCAGACCTCATAACGGTAGAGGTAGGGGGATGGTGTTCCCCCCAGGCTCCAGGCCAAGACTGAGTTGCTCCCCTATCTAGCACACATGGCTCAGTTCCGAGGAATCAGTGCAATCTGGTTAAAGAAACCAGACTCCAGTATGGGAGGCATTTGGAGTTGGAGTGAAACTGATGTCCATGTGTTTATTATCTGTTATTCAAGGCTTCCCGATATCATGGGACTTTCTATTTTAAGTAAATTGTTCTTTTTGCACAAGATGTGAAATCAGATTTGATAATAATTGGTAGAGGAGCAAAATCAGGGGTACTGGGGGCTTGAATGCAAAGGAAAAGAGAATCTTAGTGTGGCATATGGGATTTGCTACAGATTTCCTTAAGGAACATTTCTCCCTGATATCCTGGAGAGCCAAGAGACACTCTCCAAATCCCTTCATTTTTTCTTCTAGGAGGGAGTCTAGCCTGTACTTTAAACATAGATAACATTACTTGGTCACAGCAGAAAGACAAATACTGCGCATTCTACAATCCTTGCAAAAAGATCACTTGTGCTCTGTATTCTGGAAGTAAGATGCTTTGTTAGTCTTACCAGTACATCTCTGGGCCAGCTTCCCCCAACCCACTGATCCTAGCAACTGCCTCAGTATTTTTCGGCTTCAAAGTGCTCTTTCCTCTTCTCACCTGAATTTTACCTTGAAGGTAAGCACCTAGATAGGCAAACCTACCCTCCTTGCTTTTATCTTATTAACTCCTCCTCTCCTTGGATCCTTCTCTTTCTCCTCTGCTCGGTTATTTTATCCCCTTCCTCTTTCAGTTATTTCTCTTTCCTCTGAGTTCTTTTCATTCTCATTCTTCTCAAATTCTCTCAAATTTCCCCAAATGAAATGTCATCTGTCCTCCTTCACCATTCCAACATCCTCCATATTTCCTTCTTTACAACTGCCTGTCTTTCACCTGTATTTTCTCAGTCCAAATGCTCACCTCATCTTTCTTCTCCTCTCTACCTGTCCCAGAAGGACAATACAAGCATAGTGTCCAGACTGAGAAAGGGAGATCCCCACCCTATTCGACCATTGTCAGAGCCTACCTGGAATATTGTGTACAGGTTGGGGTCCCACATTTTAGGAAGTCACTCAAAATCATTCCATATGAGAAATTGTTGGGAGTCTCTGACAGAAGCCTAATCAGCTAGGCCTCAGACATTGTTCCCAGAGCAAGAAAGCTGAGGATGTAAGGCAAGGTCTAGTAGTAGTCTGCCTAAAGTGTAAGTTGCTAGACTAAATGACCAAAGAGCCAGGCCTAACACAAAGAGCCACTCGGGGGCATATTCTACATGTGGGGATAACTTCTGTAGGCCGGCACTTTCTCTGGGAGTCTTTCTTGGGTATGTATTAGAGGGGACAGTTGGGTATATTTATAGAATTATGTGGCTTCTAATTAGCCAGGCACAGGAGAGGTATAGAGAAAAAAAGAGTTCCAAAGACTATCATTAAGTTCACAACTTATTATTTTAACCTAAGTTTGAAAATAGGCATTATGTTAATTTTGAGCATGGTTCCAAATAAAGATATGTAATCAACTAAATGGTAACCACTTATACAATTTGAATATTCAACTAAGTCAGGAAATAGGAGAGGAAGCTAGGGGACATAGCAGTGGAAGTGTTGGACTCCCTGGGGTCCAGAAGGACCTGAGTTCAAATCCTTCTTGAGACACTAGCTCTGTAACTATGGAGCAAGCCACTTCAGGGCACCATGGAGCAGCTGAGTAGCATACTCCATAGAGAGTTGGACCTGAAGTCAGGAAGATTCATCATCCCAAGTTCAAAACTGGCCTTTGACACTTACTAGCTGTGTGGCATTGGGCAAGTCACTTAACCCGTACTGCCTCGGTTTCTCATTTGTAAAATGAGTGGGAGAAGAAAATGGTAAACTACTCCAATATCTTTGCCAAGAAAACCCCAAACAGTGTTATGAAGAGATGAACATGACTGAAACAACTGAACAGCAACAAAGTAAGTTTCTATAATCATGGAGAAGTGCTACAGTTTCCATGACAGCATCTCTGGGGGGTGAGGTGCAGTCCCCAACCAGGGTTACATTCTTCCCTTTGACAAAAAGTTTCTAGCACCTACTAAATCACTGATCAAATCATCAATCATGATTCCAGAGGACTAATGATGAAACATGCTACCCATCTCCTGCCAGAGAGGTGATAGACTCAAGATGCAGAATAAGACATATGTTCTTAGACATAGCAATAGTGGAAATTTGTTTTTCTTGATGACACCTATTTGTTAAAAGCATGTTGCTTTTGTTTTTATTTTTCAAGTTGGAGAGTAGTTAGGAAGGAGAGGAGAGATAAAGATATGATAGCCAAAAAAAAAAAAACCCAAACAGGTAAAGGAAAAGAAATGGATAAAAAGAGGTTACAGAAAAGGGCTCTTTGCAAGTTACATGCCGAATTTATTGTATACTTTAAAAGAAAAGCAAGCTATATAGAATAGGGATTCACAGTTTCATATATAATTCCCTTTTTTCCCCATGTTATTTGCTGTTTCTTAAGCTCAAATTTTTTTAAAAAAATTAGATTTTTATAAAAAATCACTGTGTCTAGAGTCAAAGGTTCAAGGTTCAAATCTTACTTCTGATCTTTCTACTGGGTGTGTCTATTGGCAACTCCATGATCTGTTTCCTTATTTGTAAAATGATGAGATTAGATTATATAAACTCTGAGGCCCCTCACAGCTCCAGATCTGTTATCCTCTGTGATTCTCTGTAGCTGGCCACAGCCATTTTTCAAATCCTATCTAGCCACCCATCCTGACGTCTTGTCATCTGCCCCGTAGTGACACACACACCATTGTCCACTCCCACCTCCTGACAGTCACACTTCCCATTTCTAAATCTTGTTCTGGGAACTGTAGTCATATCAATGTTACCACTGTTATGGGTAAGGATGTGTCAATCAGCTCTCCTGTGGCTCCACTTACCATCTCTGGGACTTCCCATTCCAAAACACCCTTCCCTGGTCACCACTTCCCTACAGGTACTTTCTATCCTTTCCATCAAGACTCAAGCTCATTGTATGCTGGATTATCTTGCTTTTTAATATTTGTATTCCTGAGACTTAGCACATACTAAGTTTGGCACATAGTAAGCATTTAATATTTCTTCATTCATTGTTAATATCCATTTCTCCATTTCCAATGTTAAGAATTTATTTGTGCTATACAGGTCAAATAGGAGTTATATTAATTATTCCCCATTTGTTTTCTCATTTTTATTCTATTTATGTGTAGTGTGGGTTTACTTGGAGGTTGCAACCCAAGGGAGCTCATGTTGTGGGAATGGGTCTATAGGAGTCATTTCAGGAAGCATGCACTGGACCTCCCCTGAAAACTTCAGCAGAGGGACTCCACAGACATATATGCGTCTCAATTCTAAAGGACTAGCCCTTTGAGAAGACAAAGCAATCTCTTCTCGACCACCGAACAGGAAGAGCCAATGACTCAGTGTAACTTCATTCACCTGTGTGTCGTCTTCCCATTTCTGATTTCCCTTAGTTGTTAAGTGCCTTCTTCCGTCATTCCTCTTAGGATAGACCCCAACAGTCCATCAGGACACTTATCCAGGGGAAATCAGAAAAGGCTTGCTGTAGCAACTGAACTTTTAAGAAAGTTAAGGTTTGATTCTATAAGGCAGAGGTGAAGAAAGAGTACATTCCAGGTAACCCCTCACACCCTTTACACCAGGCATGGACCAGTGCAAAAGTCCAAGGAGAGAAGATGGAACACCAAGTTTGGGAAATCACACATAGATTAGTTTGATTTAAACACTGGGCATGTGAAAGGTAGTAATATGAAGCAAACAGAAAATTAGGTTGGAGCCAGATCAGAAAGGACTTTATATACTAAGATGAAGAGTTTTATTTCCTCCTAGAGTCAACAGAAGATCTTATAAAGGATGAAGTAGTCAGACCTGTTATTTCATCTTGTAGCTTAAGTGATTTTTTTTCTTGTCATTATCATGTTTAACAATATTATGAGAGAGTTGGAGCATCTCCTTGTCTAGGCCATGGACTCTTTTTCTTTGCAG